AAATGCCTTGTCGACAAGACAGAATACATATACAAAATGGTCCAGGACAATGGAACACAAGTATTTTGGTTCCTGTCGCGCCCCCGCCGGTTCAGGAAAACTCTTTTGATCGACACCATGGAGACATTTTTTAATGGGGAAAAAGAGTTATTTAAAGGTATCGAAATGTATCAGCAATATGTCAGATATTTCTTATTTATCAAACATTTCAGATGTTAGCCAACAAATCTGGTAATTTGTCTAGATTTTTCCCAGCTTAAATCTGATAACTTCTGTAAATTTGAGTATAGAATGGTATCGTTATTGCACAATCAAGCAGAGATCCATAAGATTCAACTAGATACACAGGACGTCTCAGTAGCCTTTCACCAATTGATTGAGAGGGTGAATAAAAAGCGCAATGAAAAGGTCGTCATTTTAATAGACGAATATGATGCGCTGTACTTAAGAATTTATTTGACAAATAAGAATGAAGCCTCCCGGATGCTAGGAACACTTCAGGATATCTTTACTATCCTTAACGCTCAGGTTAAGAGAATCCGTTTCAACTTTACAACCGGCTCCCTATTTCTGACCTTTTTTCCGGGGCGAATGCCGCAGTTGATCTTACAATGGACCCAGAGTATGCTAACATCTTGGGTTTTACTGAAAATGAATTGACACAGTATTTCGAGGGCTTTATTGAAAAAGTGGCCACATCAACAGGAAACACAACTACGGAAATCATGTGAGTGATGAAAAAATGGCATGATGGGTTCAGGTTCACCATAAAAAATGCGTCACTGTATAGCCCCGTCTCTATTATCGGTTATTTGCGTTCTGGAGGTGATTTAAATGCTTGGACTGACACATGTAACCCGAGTCAGTTCATAGTTCAGCGACTGGCAGAATCCCCAAATGAAAATACTGAGAAGTATAACTAAAGCTCGTTGGTATGAGAGGAATGCTGATATCCGTGCAGACCTCAACATTGACTCTGTGGAGGATTACATCACGAAGATGTACACTGCATACGAGAGTCGGTTGCATCAGCACCCTAACCCTGAGGCCCTCGCACTCTTGGAATGGGACCGATGCTTCCGCCAATTAAAACGTCGCAAGCCCCATGAGCTTGAAATCCAGAGGTTCTCAAAATTTTCATAATTTTACTCATCTGGCCTCCCTGCGCTCTTAGGACGTGATCGGGGGTTCTTTGGCCTTTGACCGAGGCCGGTCGCCAAAATCACAACAGTTAAAACAAAAAGACATTTATTAATTTGTATTTATTTTGTTTTTTATCACTCATCTAGTTACTTTGTATAGATTGTATCCTAAGTTTTAATTTGTAAGTTTATGATAAGTTCTTGTACCTATCACATAATCTAACCTTTTTAAAGAATCTGTAAGTCTAAAAGTGTATTTTGTACAGCATTTATTAAGTACAAATAAATAAATAAATAATAAAAAAAAAAGCTTTACAACCGGAATCACGCGGCTCCCTCTTTCTGACCTATTTTCGGGGCGAATGCCGCAGTCGATCATACCAGAGACCCAGAGTATGCCAACATCTTGGGTTTTACTGAAAATGAATTGACACAGTATTTCGAGGGCTTTATTGAAAAAGTGGCCACATCAACAGGAAACACAACTACGGAAATCATGGGAGTGATGAAAAAATGGCATGATGGGTTCAGGTTCACCATGAAAAATGAGTCACTGTATCGCTCCGTCTCTGTTATTGGTTATTTGCGTTCCGGAGGTGATTTAAATGCGAGCGAGGTGATTTTAATGCGAAACGATCCTCGAAGGCTCGTTCCGGATAGCCTTCGTGGCTCCTTCGGATAATATAGTAGTTTTTAGTCCCCGAAGAGTTTAGAGTTGTTTAACTGGCGCCCAACGTGGGGCAAGAAGACTAATTCCCCTTGGAATTGTCTCTTTCAAGCATCTACACTTCTACAACATGTGCCCGGTTTAGGCCATGCCATCAGGCCTGGTACGCGTCATCTTCTATCTTCCGTTTAATACTATGTGATGACCGTTTGTTTAATTCTATATTATTTTATGTGTGTTGCTCGGTCCTCTGAATGTTTCGTCGATTGAAAACCTTTTCGGTTTTCCAAGTGTTAATCTCGTTTCGTCTTTTATTTCACAATGGGTATCTTAGAATTTCAAGATATGACAACAAAACTCAGCTTTTTACCGTGGAATTACCCAATCTTGAACTTGAAAACGATTTAGCTATGCGTTTTAACGCCAGTGTCACTGGATCGGATGAATCAACTTACAGACATCTGATAGATGCGGCAGGCGAAAACCTTGATAAACGTCAATGGAGTTCTTTTATTGATCGGCTGGATGCTTTCAACAAACACATCTCATATAACCTCATGACCAACCAAAAAACAGGCCTTGAAGCTTGGTTTCAATTCACCACGTTCCTAATACTCGATTTGAGCAACCGTAAGCATCGGCATAAACTTTTATTAATGGAAGATGTAACGAGTAAAGGGCAAGCCGATATTGTACATTCCTTTGGAAACGAGGTATTAATATTTGAACCAAAAATGGTGACAAATCCGGAAAACCCAGTTTATGACTGAAAGGAGAAATATATTTGGAAACACCTGTTTGGCCCGAATGAGAATGTTACATGTATTGGTTTGAAATTTAATCGTTCTGGAATCGTCGAGTCTTGGGGCGTGGCTGTATATTCAAAACAAGGTAAGCTGATTGAAGAAGATGGTAATAAATTGCTAACCACTCAATTCAACCCCCAAAATAGAAAGCTTAGCGCACTTATCAAAAAATATTTTTTTGTTTTTATTATATTCTCCAATTAAGTACATACTACTTACGAAACTCTAGGTAATTTTCCTTGCAATCGTTCAACCCAAATCTAAAAATTTTCATTTGCCTTAAAGTGAAAATTAACCAAAAGTCTTGGTAGGTTTTGCTGGAAATTTAAATTACTATTCACGAATTTTCCTTCAAATTTTCTGGGGCAGTGGAAAAGTGTTTCAAGAAATTTAGACGAAAGTCAAACTTTGAAATTTGAATATTCAGTCAAATTCTATTGGCGAATTACACTTCAAATATTTCCTGGAGCAGCAGAAAAGTATTTCAAAAGAATTTTCATTGAAATTCAGTCGAATTTATTCGCATATGTTAATGCAAATCATTTCTGGGGCAGCAGAAAATAATTTTAAAACATTACAGACGAAAGTCTTGAGTAAATTTCGTTTGTTTCATTGGTCGTCTCCTGAGCTATAGGTAGCTTCAAAGTATTTTTGGGGGTAGCAGAAAAGCTATTTTTTAAAATTATGTTCCAAACTTTGGAGCAAGATTAAAGATTAAATCTTTGCTCAGTTTAACCAGTGCTTCCTTCAAAGTTCTGGAGGATGCTTTCTTTTCAAGCTTCTTATACTAGCATTTTTTTAAAGGAAATTTAGTAAGTTTTTTAAGTGAGCTGGATACCAGACCACGCAAAAGACTCACTTGTTGCTTCTTTTGTCTAGAACTTACCGGTACTAATTTACCTACTCACTCTGAGTGTTAACGGAAAGTGACGACATCCTATTGAAGATCCATGCCGAGCTAATCTCTAATCGTACCACCCGTGGCTTTGATTACCAAGAGGTATATTATCAATTCATTCTTATCCTCTTAACATCTATATTCTTGATTCTACTTATCTTGGTAATAGTCCTACTAAAGTACCCCGTCAACGGACGACGCGGAAGAGGCTTGCTAGAGGACGTAGAAAACCTCCTGCTTTGTGGAAGTCTCGAGGATATAACCTAAGATCAATGATGCCTACCATCTATAGTTTTGTCCGGACCCTGACCAGTCTTCTTCCACTTTCAGCTGGAGTAGTTAAGACTGTACTTGGCCTAGTTGATATTGCCTTCAACTTCTTTGCCGTACAATATGAAAGCAAGACTTTTCAGCGTGGTGCATACGCTATGTTTTCGATGACACCAGCTCCATTGCTCAAGGAATCACCACTACTGGCACCTCAGGCTGATGGTGGGTACTCGCTTCCTGGCCATCCTGTCCAAATGATATCTCTCGCCCTTCATCTGAGAAATACTGCTGCTGCATCCGAAAGGAGTGGACAGTGGGCAGCAGTTTTCATCCCATTCAGGGAGATTCACGATTCGCAGCATTATACCAGGAAGGCAGTAGGCTTGGCATAATCCGGCCACCGGAAATGGGAGAGGACTGACAAGTACGTTCAAGGCATGTTAGAAATTATTGGTAAGGAACTCCCCGCTTTGAAGAGCCAAATCAGAGCGAAAGACTAAGACATTGCAATGCTCGAGGCTCAACTGAAGTTGAAGAACTCCGGAAACATCACGCTGACGGAGCTCATCCTTAGGATAGACGCAGGAGCCGCGGAGGAGAGCTGGGCCGACATGGCCAGCATACAGTGCCCTAAATTTGAATATTCAGTCGAATTCTATTCGCGAATTTTACTTTGAATATTTTCTGGAGCAGCAGAAAAGTGTTTCAAAAGAATTTTCATTGAAATTCAGGCGAATTTTATTCGCATATGGTAATGCAAATCATTTCTGGGGCAGCAGAAAATAATTTTAAAACATTATAGACGAAAGTCTTGAGTAAATTTCGTTTGTTTCATTGGTCACCTACTGAGCTGTTGTGAGGTCAATAATTCTGTTGCTAACCGAAGTCTCTGTTGCTAACTGAATTCTTTCCCTCGCCTTTCTTGATGAGTCACCTCAAATCAATAACGTAGGCGCCGAAATTCTTCATGCGATGTCGAATTCATGTCCTGCGCTGTCAAGCGTCCGAGATGTCCTCAGCAAATCTCGATGCGCTCTTGACTCAATCTTATTTTATCCTTCTTACTTAAAGCATCTCTGCTCCAAACCCAGGGTTGTGCCCTCAAGCACTATGCCACAATTTAGTGGTTTCGATTGAGTCTCGTTAAGGCTCCGGTTACAATTTAGTGACTGCGACGGAGTTTCTTTACAACTCAAACCTCGACGGTGTTACGTACAACACAAATAGTCCGAGTACTTTACACTCACTTCGTTTTACACGCGTTAAGTGTTAATTCGGTGGTAACACGTAAGTTACATTCGGACGCGTACGTTACACGCAAATTCGACAGCGTTCGTTACACGCAAATCCGGCCGCGTACGTTACACGCAAAACTTCAACATCTTCAGTTTATGGTGCGCTAAGGTAAAACATCTCATCATCCTAAAAATCCTTCATTATTTCCCATATCTTTCCTCTACCAATTTTTCCACTCCAACTATCATACAAAAATTTCCGTAACCAATTTATCTGTAAATTCATTAATTGTAACTCCATTTTTCTTGTAATATCTGTAATACTAAATCTGTTATTTTCCTCAATATACATAGCCGAAAGACTTCAAACGTACTGAGTCCGACTCTTCATTTAATTTCCCTTGAATTCCTTATCTAGAATAAATTAGGTAAGAAGGTGAAAGTTGTTTTGGTTGCAGTTCATTTCAGTCCATCATAAATTTCTATTAAACTCATCATATTAATTAAAGGCAACCCAAACATCTTCTCACATTGGTGGAGGCGCCGTTCCCTTTTAGTACTTCTCGCAACTTTCAA